TTCCACGAGTCCAGGGGAGCATCAGTGAACGGGGGGACCTTCATCCAAGGATCACACTCCATCTCGTCTCTTGTCGCATCGTCAATAAAAGTGGAGTTTCTAGTGCTGGAGACGCGCAGCGCGCATTGGGGAAAAGGGTATGCCATGCGCTCACGCCAATCACCCAGGATAATCAACTCCGACATGGCCATCGCGATCGGCAAATGCCCTGCAGGCCACAAAAAAAATAAATTAAGCAAATGCTTTCACCCAGCTCACAGGGAAAGAAAATAACCATGCCCCCCAAGGACGTCCATCAAAACTCCGCATCGGTTTGAATGACCACCTTCAAGAAGTGTCAAACAGTCGGCGGTCTCAGGTCTCTAGTGCTAAAAGCATTCTTAGGGGACCTTGCGGCAGAACTGTTTGGCGTAGCACTAGATGCTCACYAAACAGTTTTGGATGTCGATTGTATGGACACATCATATGATGCTTACCAGCAAGCAGCGGCTGATTGAAGGACCTTCTATCCGGTGTGGATCTTTGARAGCAGATTTGACGCAATCCACCGTTAGATCCATTCCGGCGAGGGGGACCTGCCATTCTGCCGTTGTTTATTGTACTCATCATGTGGGAATCRACGACGTGAGGAACCGACAATGAACATTCTTAGAGGACTTTGCGACCGTGTTTGGAACTTATTGGCGTAGCACTAGATGCTCACCAAGCAGTTCTGGATGTCGGTTTTATCGACCTATCATAWGATGCCTTACAAGCAAACTGTGGTCGGATCCCGACCCCCATCCCCGGTGTGGATCTATGAGAGCAGATTTGACGCAATCCACCGTTAGATCCACATCGGAGAGGTGGACCGRTCATCCTGCCGCTGTTTAGTGTAGTCATCATGCGGGAGTCATCGCAAGAACCCGACGATGTTCCAATTGGGACGTGCTCTTGTTTCGTGATGTGCAGGTGCTTATCGGCGGTTCGTTTGTGGAAGTCGGAAGAAAAGGAGAGAGGGTAACATTTGCAGCTTGCCTATTGTTTTCGTAAAGGTCAAGTTGAAGCAAAGTGCG